GAGGGTAGTCGGGTTGCGCTGCACCAGGGAGCTCCACCATCCTCTGAGTTGCAGACCGCCTAGGAGCAAGTCAAGTGATGAGTTTGCCATCAGGCAGTTCGCCACCAGGGAGCACTGCCGGGCAGTTCGCCACCAAGTAGCTCATCACCAAGGCACGTCACCACCAGGTCAAACACGAGTACTTAGCCAAAAAATTTATACATCACAAAAAATGGTACGTGACTAAAAACGGTTACATCAACGGGCATTCAGTTATGTTGCTCGAATTCTATATTCAAAAGTTAATATCATGAAGCCAATGTATTTAGGTCTTCTGATTTGAGACTGATGCACTCTTACTGGGTCACTCTATTAGGCGTCAGGCAAATTACTCTCCTCATGTGTTGGCCAATAAAAGCTATACAGTTTGTACTCATATAACGACTTGGTCATCTTGTCCTGACTTCTTGCTATCTGTCTACCACCATGATTTGCCTTAACCGAGTTTGAATGAATTTAATGTAATCTTGCAATTAAAGAAAATAAGGAGTCCTTATTTATTACCAGGTTGACAAGCTGTTCCTGTTTCAAGAATGTTTTTTTTTTTTCCTTTTTGAATCAGCTATTTTTGGGGCATTAATTTTGTCATGGTAGAATTTTTTTTATAAATACTGACCCTTCCGACACTTTACTTGTTTTGACCAAATAGTTTCCCGAAGACAAATGTATTGTGGTTGCAGTATTTGGTGGACATTTTGCTGTTGAAGAAATCATATGTAAGATGAAAGTTTATTTTTCTTTTGCCAATTCAAAAATTCTTTACCACTAGTTTTGCTTTTGACCCTAGTAAAAATGCAAGAAAGTAAGCGGGTAATCTTGTTTTTGGGCCAGCAACGATCTTCCAAAGATGAAAGAGATCTTCGTTTGCTGAAGAGACGTTTAACCTCGTATTGTTCAGCGAGAGAAGCCCTAGACGATGCTTTCTTCAGGGACTTGTTGATTGAGCACAAGTCCGATAAGTGATGAGCGAAGGTCCAAAAAGAGAACGTAGCAACTAAGGTAGGTATATATATATATATATTTGGTTTTCTTCATTTTGAAAGCTTCCCAATGGGAAGTGATATACAAGTCTCGTTTTACTTGGCTTGGAAAGAACCGGTATGAAATTGGAAAAGGAAAATGTAAAAAAGCAGAAACGTTTTGTACAAAGTGAAATGAATGGGTCTTCTTTTCTTTGAATTTATGTAGTTTTTACCACCTAAAATGAAGTGGTTCCATTCTGGTTCTCCCTTGAACTTGAAGAAAATTTCAAGAAGTGAATTCCTATTGTTTTGATCCAAATTGGGAACGGGGAACCACTCTAGATGATGGCATTATGGGGGATCAATTGCCATTAAGATCAATAAAACACGATTCGATGTCATGTGCACCTAAGCTCCCCAATATTCAAAAAGCAAATGCTAATTGTTGATCCAGAATCTTGCAAATTCTTTTGGCATCAAACAAAAAAGTATTTGTAATCTATGATTTTTGGATGAATAGCCACCTTTTAAAGTTGAGGAATTGAAAAGAACGGTTGTTATTTCTGGGTGGATGATTTTGAACTCCAGAGAGAACAAGTTGCTGGAGGGGGGAGAGGCTGCAACTTTGTGATAGCCTTTCCAAAGCTTTTCTTTTTGAAGATATGTATGACTAATGAGATCACAAAGCAATTTGTAAAGGCACAAGGGGTAAGCTGAATGAAATCCTCATCTCGATAAGGCTACTTTCTTCTCTTGCAGTCTTCAGAATCTCTTTTGTGTCATAATATGATTACTTTTAACTTATTAAATAATAAGCGCCTCGTCACCCACATGCCCATCTTTCTTTTGGATGTTCATTCTGCTTTCGGCAGTAGGATTTCAGAGAAAGTAGAACTCGTTTGTTTGGAGAATTTATTTGACTATGTCTGCAATCTCCAACTGAAATGACCCTTATCTCTCTCTCTATCTACCTCTATATTTTCCTTTTGTTTTACTATATTTGGGTACATATCTTATCAAAAACAGGGTGTAGTTTGTGGGGATCATTGTGCAAGAGTATGTGGTGATGTCTACCTTTTATGTCTCACTCATGGCTTTTTACGTGGCGTGAGCTTCTTCCATGCATGCATGTGGGCATGTGCATGTACACAAGAAACTGTGCAAAAGGCCACGACACTCGCTAAAGTAAGGTCGTAAGCCTGGTGAACGACAAACCCCGTTGAACCAGATGACATGGATCAGCCCTTTTATGACTTGGACTAGTACGTCATGGAGATAATGCCAACTAAATCAATCAAAATCTACCATTGGCCCGGAGTGGTCCAACTCCAAACCGGTAAGCTTGGGTTGGGTCCTGGGAATCTGATGCCCTACCCCCTGTAGGTTGGGCTATCTACACCAAGGCATGTGAGCATTGTGTGAAGCAATTGGTCTAGACTCTATAATTTTCTAGTTCAAAGACTTCTAATATGGTGTCAATAGGTCCATACATACGCCTGTTAGTCCTGTATTGATCAGCTGGCCAGACCAGAGTTCTGGTTCTAGGTCCCTTTCTGGTTTGACACACCGTCTTTTGCCAACTGGCCACCCCTCTGGCTGCTTTTACCATTTTCAGCTTTTGTTCTCCTCGAGAAAGAAAGAGAAAGGTATGAAAAAAATAATAATAAAATAAATAAAATGCTAGACCACTCCTCAGGAGGACCATCCTTAGGGGGGATGGTCACTAGCTTTTAGACTGTCCAATCAGGTGCATGAATTGAAGGATTGATATCGGTTAGGACTTGGAACACCTTGGTTGGTTGCCAGTAGGGGTGTCAATTGGACCGAATTTGGTCGAATCTGATCCTGTCCAATATGAATCTATTATAGATGGATCAGGTTCAATCCAATCCAATTATTTTGGACCAGTTCAATTCAATGTCTGAATTGTCCAATCTATTTAAATTGATTTTAATTTTGAGTGAATCCAACTCAAACCTGGTTCATTGACACTTATATTTTTATCTTCGATCCCTCCCAATCTAATATAAATTCATTACAAATAGACCAGGTTCAATCCAATTCAATAAATATTTTAGACCATTAAATCTGAACTGGTACAATTCAATATTTTATTGGTCCATCCAATCCATCCAAATTGATTTTGATTTAGACGAGACTAACCCAAAACCGGTCCAATATATATATATAGAAAGGTCTGCATTCAGTAAGAGGCCCTTTCACATGAGCTTGTGTCTTTTGATGCTGGTTGTTGGCCCAATTCCAATCTGACGTGTTAAAACTTAAAAGTGCACCCTCATGACTCATGTGGGGACCTGGACTCTTCACCAAATTATTAAAAAAAAAATTCAGAACAGAAGCATTATTCATCGTTTGAAATGTTTTACCAGGTACCAGAGCCCTGAACCTCATCTTTTGTGGCAAAGTAATCTCTCCTCTTTTACTATATCAACAATTTCCAGCATTTCACCTTTCTTTTACTTTTCCCTCCTTGACTCCTTTTCTCTCTCCCCAACAGCTTTATCTAACAACACTTTTTCCTTTCTCCTGCCAGTGCTCAGTGCCCACCGATTCCTTGGTGCCATATCCTTTAAACATCATCTTTGCAGAAATCACATAAAAAATCCACTTGGGTCTCCTCCGAAACTTAGAAACGCCTCTCGTATTAATGGCCATGGGAGCTTCTTCTAATACCCTCTTCTTCCTCTTCTTCTCCCTTTCCCTTCTCACATTCTGTTATTCAGGTAATTGCAATTTGCAGCAACTCACTACACTTTGGTCTATTCCTTGTGAAGGAATGAAGTAGGAAAAGAAAGAAAGTTTTCTGATTCTTACTAAGCTGTTGCGCTTTGGTTTTTATAACCCTTCAAATTTGTTTGCATTGCTAATTTTCAGGAACTTTGGTGGGTTTCTCTTATGATGCAAGGAGAAGTGCAACTTCATCACCTAAAGAAACAATGTCCTTCCTCAAGGAAAACAACGTTTCCCCATCTCAGATAAGGGTATTTGCAGCAGATGATAGGGTTTTGCCACAACTGTCCAACGCCGGAATACCTGTTGATCTCTACTTAGATGAAATTCAGGTTGAGCGTCTGAGTAAATCCAAAGCTTCAGTCATTGCATGGCTCAAAACCCACCTCATAGGCTTTCTCCCACATGTAAACATTACCAGCATAATAGTTGGCACCAGCAGTAGTACCTCATCAACTACTCAAAACCAGTTACCTTTACTCCTACACACCATGAATTATATCCATTCAGTGCTAACATGGTTTGCTCTTGAAGGTCAAGTTAAGGTCTCAGTTTCGTTCTCCATGCCATTTTTAGAGAGCCTAAACAAAACTCAGGCAAGAGATCTACACGGGATTCTAGATTTCATTAGGAAATCTAGGTCCTTCGCAGTTATACGAACTGTCATTAATGGAGAGCTGAGTATGGGAGATCACTTTGTCCGCTTGATGATTGGAACGGCTAGAAATGCCTCCATTGCTCTTCGTTACTGTGATGTTCCCTTGGTCGTGACTGTTGGTAGCTCTGCTGTTCCTAGTGCAGTAGAAGTTTCTGAATTTTCTGAGAAGATTCTGCGATCCATAGGAAACAACACCGAGGCCATAGGTAATGTAACTGGGTTATTTGCAGAAATCCCTTCGGTGGAAGAATCCAAGCGGAAAGAGCTCAAGATAGAAGAGGAACAGATATTTCACTCTGCCCACAGGGAACTCCTTGACCATGGCGGCATGGAACAGAGATCCATCTCAAAAAGAACAACTCTCCATGATGTGATAGGCTCTCCAGCATCAACTCTCCCTATAAATCCCACGCCAACGATTATCACGGTGCCCTCTACAACAAATCCTGTGACCGTAATGCCGGCAAATCCTGTAACCTCCCCTGTCACAATCCCCTCCACAACGCCAATCAGTATTCCACCTGCAAATCCTACCAACCCACCCATAATCGGACCAATAACCAATCCAGTCACGACACCAGTAACAACTCCAACAACACCAACAGTAACCAACCCGGTGACTACTTATCCAGTAGCACCGCCCGGCAACGTTCCTATCACAACGCCGACGATACCCATTACAAACCCGGTGACTCCTCCGGCGACGACGGGCTCATCAATTATTCCGGGGCAGACTTGGTGCATAGCAAGGAGTGGGGTATTACAAAATGCACTTCAAATTGCACTGGACTATGCTTGTGGAATTGGAGGTGCAGACTGCTCGACAATCCAACCTACAGGAAGCTGCTACAATCCAAATACCCTCCAAAACCACGCTTCATATGCATTTAACAGCTACTTTCAGAAGAATCCAGTGCCATCCAGTTGCGACTTTGGAGGAACTGCTACGATTGTGAACACCAATCCAAGTAAAAACACTGTTCAACTTGACCTCCGTCTCATGTATTTCATATAAATATAATCTGCCAATCTGGGTAGGTAAATAATTGCTGCCCAGGAAGAATCTTGATCACAGATGTTTTGAAAAGCAGTGTCTCAAATTTTCTACAGGTACTGGTTCCTGTGTTTACCCATCAACATCATCATCACCACCGTCACAATCATTACCGACAACATCATCACCATTACCGCCGGCAACAGCAAGGTAAACTTTTCTGAATTCGTTGCAGTTAAACTTGGTTTCTTGTAAGCTGAGCTGTTACAGCTTACATATGTTTCCTTTACCTAACAATCTTTCTTTTTTTCCTTCTAATTTGCCAATCTCCAGTTCTGGTTCATCAGCACCAGTGATTGGCACGAGCGGCCCTGCTACAGGCACCACAATATTTGGAACCCAACCACCTCCTGGCAGTAACACGACGGTGTCCACATCAACCACTTTGCAGCCACAGTATAGATGCATTCTATTGTTAACGCCTATTACCTTTGTAATGCTAAGGGTGGTGATGTAGGTATCCATTTCCAATGTATGACAGTAGATCAGAGCTCCAGCAAAATTCCAGAACCTGGCAGTATTAGCTTACAGCAAAACAAACGGCCAAGAGTTCGTTCTTCAGAGCTTAGAACCAAGATCCATTCCCTGTGACTAGATCTACTAACCAATGTCCAGTTGTCCACATCGTATGAGATGGTAACCCTTAGTTGTAGTTACAGAGCATTGTACTGGCATACTCCAGCAATTCAATTCTCAAGCAGGTTGCAATGGGTGGCAACAAAGGAACATGTGATCCCTGTTTTCTTTCCAAGTGCAGGTGCTGGTACTGGTGGTGGTGCTATACAGGTATTTTGCCATTTTGATAAATAAAATGAGTTTCAGTTCCACATTACCGATGGACATACAAGCTGCCAGATTAGTAAATGTTGTACAGTTTGTGATATAATAGGCTACGGTGAGGATCAAAGACTGAATGCCTTGTGGAGTGAATTGATTTCTTAGAAATCTAATAGTAATAATATTGCATTTGTTAACAAAAGTTTAGCTTCTACAATGGAATTTGTTCCACTCGATAAATATTCATTTACAGTTGCACATCCATCACGAAAATAATTGGAGCTTTGCGCTGAAACCTGAGGGTATAAAAGAAAAATTCCAGCGCATGACAAGTTACCATGGGTTTTGCAATTAATATTCTTGTAGCCAAAGATACAAGGAATTGAGTGGGGTACGTCCCATGCGCAGGAAGCTCCAAACAGCTCAGTCTGTTTTTCGAAACAGCCAAGGTTTTCTCACCTATAGACTGACTATTCATGCGAAAGTGGGCCTAATGCCTTCTAACTATCATCGTTTTGCAAAAACCACTAGGATCAGCATTGACATTGAAACAACAACCTTGAAGCCAGAGCTCTCCCAGAAGTTCTGTTTGTCAATGCTCACACCTTGTTGCTTTGTAGCCAACTGATCTCTTAGTTCTTTTAGAGCTTTGTCTCTCCTTTCTCCCATCTGCCAAAAAGAACACAACTAAGATAATCATGCAAATAAGGTTAAAAGACATACAACAAGGAAAACCTGAAAACTATCATAACCCATTTCAAAGATAATAATTGATTAGATTAAAAAGTAATTTCTATAAAACAGTTGTAAGGCCAATTATGATGTATGAACAGTGTTTGACAGTCAAGAAACGGCATCTCCAAAAATTGGGTGTCACAAAAATGCATATGCTGAGATAGATGAATAGAAAAACTAGAAAGATGGAATAAGTAATGAAATCATATAAAGGAACATAAAAAGTAACTTCAGTAAGTGATAAAAATGAGATGGATGAATAAATTTTGGCCTCCACTAACATTCAGAAACCAACACAATAAATAACATAAGCATCTAGTTAACCAATTGGATACAAATGGAAGCATCTACGGACCACAGATGGAATATATTACAATGATCCTATCATGCATAGTGTAGATGGTATCAGGTACTAATTCATTTATTCAAAATGCATTTAAGGCAAAATAAGAAGCATATTATTTCCACTGTTCTGAAACATTTCATGAGAGGGTACCATCAGGGGAAATTTTGATATATTCAGGAGCATGGCCGAGAGAGGGATCTCAACAGTAGGGCCATAGCAGCTTGCCAAATTTGCAAACCTCAAAGAACCCTACCTACTTCATAAAAAACATGCTAGAGGCATTTGTTTAAGAAAAAGATATTGCAAGTGTAGGAAGTAAGAACTTAGAATTACCCTTTGGAGCTTCCGTGTCTGGGAACGAGCTTCCTGAAGACAGAACTCTAACTTAAGTACCCTCTTCTTCAATTCTTGATCAACTTTTCGTTGTTTCTCCAACTGCTCCATAATCATGTAGAAGCCAATCACGAGATAGTCCCTTTAGTTACAGAAACAGTGCTTTGGGCATATAAAAGTACCAATACCACCCAATTACATCAGGACATACCTGTGACTCAAGTTCCTTGGTTTTCAGTTTCCAATGTGCAGACATAATCCTGATTTCATCTCTGAGTCTTGATATCTCTTGATCCTTTGCATCCAAGAGCTTATTAATCTTCTCAAAGTTCTTTGGAGAAACCTCATCTAATATTTTTCTCAGTTCACAGTTCTTGTTTGCTCCAGCCTTGGAGATTGCTTGCATGATTTCTTCCTCAATTCTCAAAATTTCATCTTTCAGCTGCATTTGAGAAGCCTCCCGTGCTTGAAGGTCCTTCTGCAGATTATCTAATTGTTGTCCTAGCCTATTGACACGCTCTTCATGCTCTTTTAATGAACTATTTTTGACATCTAATTCTTTTAACAGGGCTAAACACTGCAGTTGGGCTGATTGGGCGGATGCAGCACTTGCATCTGCAGTCTCTTGAGTGATTGATATCTGCAACCTTAGTTCATCCAACTCCTTGAGATACTGTATTGCATAAGAATAACATCATCAGGATGTTGAAATTTTAAAAGTGCAATAAAAAAGGGGCAGGCTAATGCTTGCAATTTCATTCGGTCATTCCTAATACAAAGTGACCCAAGTTATAATCCAAAATGGAAGAATCTTAGTAGTTTGGGCTGGATTATTGAAGAGTTCACTGTGAACTGTTATCTAACTTCGATCTTCAATAATTCAACCCATTTGACACAATGTTCATTGACTTCAATCAGTGGTCCAAGTCTCCATGTATAGGATAGGCCACAATATTTTCAAATACTTGTTTTTAGAAACCTTTATTGAGGGAACACCTAATACGAAATTTCCCAGAAAGTATACTTTGTCCTCAATATTGGACAGAGAAGTGTCAAGCTACACAAACCACTGTTTAACATAGTCTATTCAGGTCAGAAGGTAACTGCAAAATCCTGTAAATTATTGATGTGAAAGCATGATAAATTTGGGTTCTAGTACACTACCATCACCGTCATTTAGTTTTGTTCAGTGCCATATACATTCCCATGGTAACGAGAAATAAAAGATAATAGCTTAAACCTCATCATTCTTACTTTACTTCTCTATCATTGTATGCCCAAACGTATTACCATTAGTTTCATCCTTTTCTTATGTATCTTAAATGCTGCAGTTAAATAAAAAGGAAAAATATTACGATGTGTTTAAACGCTAGAAAAATGTTTGATTTGTAAAATTCTAAAATGCCTTGATATTTTATATTTTTTATTGGTTGACATTTGAAGAAGCTTTGACTCAGCTTTAATGTTGCCAAGGAAAAACCATGCAGAATCAACAATAATTTGACACTTTCCCTATAGGGAACAGACGAAAACAAACCAAATCCAAAAGGCTCAAAACCAAAGGAAACGAAGATGAGGAAGAAGCTTTGTAGTTTCAGCAACCAGGAGTCATCAGAAACGCTCACCATTGGATCATAGTTGGAATAACAATCCAATTTCAATAAATATAGCATTTTACATGCAAAAAAATAAAAAACAAAGAAAAAAACGAAATTCCCAAAAACAAAAATAAGTAAATAAAACTTCCGTCTGCCGCACCTGCTGTTCAGTGGACGCCGATGCCAGCAGCTGCACGTCCCTCTCTTCCAAGCTTTTCTGCAACTGAAGTACCTCCTCTTCCATACTCTTTGCCCTCGTCTCTGCTACCTACATATCCACTCACTAAATACGAGTCTAGAAAAGCCAAACGAAGTCCTAAACATCTGAAAAAAAGGAACTGAATTTAGCGCTATGAAACCACCAAATCAGGTACCCGTCTCGATAGGATTTCTTGTGCGAATGATTCTTCCTGCAAAGCAAGCTGACTGCGTGCATCCTTCAACTCGGTAGCCAATGAAACAACGTTCCTTCTGAAACTCTGTCTCTTCTCGTCGAGATCCTTCAACAAAGGATCCAAGTCTCGGGCAGACGCCGAGGGCTTCTCCGAAACCTCCATCATCACGTCAATAACTCAAATAAGATGCTCCGGATCAACTAGTTCAGAGTTTCATCCACTGCAGCTATATTATCAACTTCTGGGACCCTCCTAACATACACGGGGTAGGTTAATGCTCCAAACGTAAGCCCACTCTCACACTCTGTTTCACACTAAATAACCAGTCGTCTCTGGTGCATTGAAGGCTTTCCTTATCTGCACGTCCAAACGGTCCGCTGCATTAATTTCGAACCATGCCTAACAGACGTTAAGTTTTCGGTGTCACGGTAAGTTCCTTTCCTAACTCTTTCTCCTTTTCTGAACAAGAACCAAAAACGCCTCTAAGCAATTAGTTAACAGATTACAAGCATCAAAGTAAAATTAAAAAGAGAAAATCGTTTTTTTCTCGTTTCTTCGACACATGAATGGAATTTCGCCATAGGGTATTTCAGACTTGGCATACAAGAGCCATGTGTTTGCTGTTGTTTCTTGTACGAAAAAGACGGAAGGAGACCAGGAAACAGTAAATGTGAACATTTCTCCAGAAAATAAAAAATTCCGATGAAGGAATAATTCCTAGAGAAAATTTAAGAAAGTCTGATTTGCAATTACATACAGCAATGCCGAAGGTTATGAATTATGATACATGCTTTTTTGCTTACAAAATGCATATTGAGGGACGTGTGATTACAAAGAACATGGATTTCGGCGGTAAAATAAGAACTTTGCAATATCAAGAAAAACTGATTTGTACATAAGATTGTTACTGGTTAACTGAAGCATCTGCTAAAGTTATGGAGTACCGAAAGACAGAAGACTCAAACCAAATTGTACTCTAAACGAGCGTACCTTTTATGAAACATTACAAACAGTCAAATACTTGTATCTTTCCAATTTCCAGGGTCTGAACGCTCACGAGACCAGAAGAAGCTTCAAACGCCTCCGGATCGAACTCAACACGAGATAGAAAGAGAGAGGAAATATATGAAGAAATCATTTCGATAAATTAATCTTGAATACCTTCTCTCCGTTCTTTCGACTGTCCTGAATGCATCGCGTGACAAGGTCTAAACCCCTTTAAAACCGCTGACAAATGGCATCAGAAAGCTCCTGGAATAAGATCCAAACACCAAACCTCAGCTTCTTGAACAAACCGGAATGGAGAAAAACCGCTTCGTGGATAAAGAGAAACGAACAAATCTTAATCCGCTTACAGGAGATCAACTTTAGAGCCTCGTCTGCTATTTACGGTGAACGAAAGCTCAAGTTGGGCAGAAGAAAAAACTCTCTAATAAAACATTAATTCATTCAAGCAGCTGGAGCATTTAGGTTGTGCGAAGCGGGCCGGGAAGACAGAGATTTGTACGTCAATCTATATTGCTTATGGATCGGAAAACCTTAGATAGAAGCTAGAATTTCATTGTTCCTTGGATCTTGTTAGTGTAGTGAGAAGCAAACAGAGCAGATTTCGTTTATGTTAGGCAAATAGAAAACAGGTTTGGAATTTGGAAGTTTGTATGCACGGAGAAGTGGCTCGGATTTGACGAGGCTGAGGTTCGGAATTATGGCGGAAGGAAGAAAGAATCTATTTTCTTGCTGGGTTTGACCTCTGAGCGCGGCAAATTGAAATTTGGACTCGAACTATGTCATCCGTTAACGTGGCTAATTATTGGCCGCTGATAGGACACCCTATGATCTCTACGTCGTGGGGGAACCAAAGAGAGGAGGGAATCCGTGTAATATTTTTTTGGGGTTTTTTTTATGGAATTCAAAATTTAAAAGCGAGAAAGGACAAATGATGAAAACAGGTCGCAACCAGCTAAATAGTTGGAAGTGATATACGGGCTTCAGTTGAGACAAAATAAAAAAAACCGCCGATAACGAAAGGATGCCGGATGCAGAAATCTCGGATCGTTTCGGATCAGGTAGGTAGGTAAACACAGTGTAGATTTTAAAAGGATAAATGCTTGGTTGAGGCAATAAGGCATAAGACTTAAAATTAAAAAAAAAAAAATTTTACGCCAATTAAAAAAGAAGTTGATGGTGCGCAATCCGGCTGGTCATAGTTGTCAACGACTTTGCCTTTGAACGGAATTGCGGGGAACCTGAAACGGAGAAGATGAGGAAGCTCCGGGTGGAACCCAATGTGGAAGCTCCGAAGCTCAAGTTAGAATCCTTCTACGGCAAGATAAAACCAGATAGCGCAAACTTTGCATACCTTGTTCTTAAGGGTAGGGAGCCTTTTATAACCACCTCGTGCACTCACCCCTAAGCATCTGTCAGGTCGGGTACGATCACCTCTGGTCTCCTGCCAGTTCGGGTGTCATCCCCTCTGCTGGTCAGAACCGCCACTGCTCCCTTTTGTTGGAGCCGTCTCTGCGACTGGTGATGACGGTGGCAGGTGGCGGTGGTAGGTGACCGTTGAAGTGCGGCTGTCAAGCGTCAGATCCCAAGTCAGTCAGATGCGCCGCCCTTGTGTACAGACCTCCTTGGTGTCGGGTATGGTACGTTTGTTCAGTTCGGCGTCTCGGAGGCGAAGTGCTGGAGTGGCGAACGAGGTGAAGTATTGAGTTCGGATAGGGGAGTGTCCCGAACTGCCAGGAGGCGGGCCAGTTCGGGTTACGGCCTTGTGTGGCTTGGGGCCTAAGGGAGAGTTCGGGCTCCTCATAGGGAGGTCGGTCTCCTCGTAGGGAATTCGAGCTCTTAGTAGGGAAGTCGGGCTCCTCGTAGGGAGGTCGGGCTCCTCGTAGGGAGTTCAGGCTCCTCGAAGAGAGTTCAGGCTCCTCGAAGTGAGTTCGGACTGCTGGTTTCTTCCCGTTGGTGCTTGCGCCCTGGGTGCGCTGTTTTAAGTGCTGAGCTATTTGCTTTTGCCACGTGGAGTGATTGCGAGGTTGGGCCAAATCTTCCTTCATCAATTGCCCCCCACTCCTCGCGCTAAGGGTCTTGCCCTGGCGCGGGGAGTTCGCAAGGTGTCAGGTGGATTTGCCCTGTACTTTGAATCTTGGTTCTAATGGCGCGAGGTGCGTTGTCAGGGTTCCTTGGGTTTCTTCGAGCACACAACAGGCGGGAAACGTGCCGACCTACCTGAACGTTGATAGATGCGACGGCGTGCGCTTTATTCGAAATTTCAAAAAAGAGCGCCACTTGGGAGACGCGACAGCAGGCGTCTTTTCAAATTTGAAAACGTGTCGCTGCCGCTTTTATTGTGAGGAGACGTGTGCTGGTGTTTCGTTAATTACGAAAAGACGTGTGCCGACACTCTGTCAGTTTCAGGAAGACGTGCGCCGGCACTCTGTCAATTTCAGAAAGACGTGCGCCAATCACGTCTCGGTCTCAGGGGACGTGCGGTCAGTGCGATTGTGGGTCGTCGGATTGGCTTTGATCTAAGTCGTCGCTTTTCGATCACAGTGAGTATAAATAGCGGGGGGGGGACCCCAGTCGCTGTCACTTCTGTATTTCTCTCGAGCTCGCGTCCGAGTTTCAGCTCGCATCCAGGCTTTTTTCAGTTCACGTCCAGGTTTTTTCAGTTCACGTTCAAGGTTTTTTGCTCGTCCGAGCTCCCGTGGTCTACAGCCTTTTTCCAGGTGAGTACTTTCCTGGAATCCATCTCACTCCCCGATGTCTAGCTTGGATAGCTCAGATAGTCCTTCCAGTAGGTTTGATGCAGGTTCTACGAATCGAGTTGCATCCCCTGATAGCTCTAGCGAGCCGGAGGTAGAGCTCGAGGAAGAGTTCAAACTCGTAGGCCGAGGCACTTCGGGTAGTTTGGCGTCCACCTCTCATCGGGGTCGGATGTTAGACAAGTTTGGCCCTTCGACCATGACGCCTGAGGGGCTCCAATCCCTTATTACCTACTATAACTTGCCCGGGGAGTACGCTTATTTCATTCCTTCGGGTAGCTTTCCTTGGGAACACGGTCCTGGCGAGATCGTGATATTCCGGGAGCAGCTCGCCGCGGGGCTGCGATTGCCTTTCCATCCCCTCCTTATCGAAGTCTTGAACCACTTCGGCGTGACGGTCGGCCAGCTTCACCYGAACTCCATTCGAAATTTGGTGGGGACAATCTCCTTATTTTGCGAAGAGAGATTTCCTTTAGACTTGGAGATATTTTCTTCAATCTTGATGCTTAAGAAGCAAGCGGGTCCCCTCCCCGGGCGTAGGCGGGCATAATACCTGTCTCCTCGCCCGGGCTTTAAGCTTTTACATGAACTCCCCAACAAGGTCCCAGCGTGGAAGCGGGACTATTTCACGGTGCGAAGTGTGCTGGGGTGGCCGTTTCAGACCGGGTGGGGGATGTCCGTTCCTGACTCCGGGGTCACGCTTGACAAAGAGACGGCGAAGGGCCTCCGGCAATGGGCGCGGCTTGGGTTGAAGTGTCAACAGTATTTGACGGAGGCCAAGCTCATTGCGGCCGGCCTGAGCTCGGGTAGGTTCTTCACTTAGAGATTCTGTCTTGTTGTCTTTCTTGCTTTTTACTGATGGCGAACTTCTTTTCGCAGCTGTTATGGACTCTCGAGGGACTCGTGGTGGGAACTTGTTCCAAGGCATGAAGAGGAGGAAGCGGGTTGCCAAGCGAACTCGCGCCGAGCTGCCCCGGGATGCGGAGCTTGAGGTGTCGGACTATCTGTTGGAAGATCTGCCCAGGGAGCCCGAGATGGTTCCTCCAATGCAGGAGCCGGCAGGGGTCCCTTATGCTGAGACTACTTACACAGGGGCTCCTACATACTCTGGTGCTCCTGCTAACTCTGGGTCTGCTCATACGCGAGCTGGGCCCTCAGGCTCGGGGGCCCCGGGGGATTTCAGGAGTGTGCTGTCGCCGACCCATGCTCTTCAAAAGAGTAAGGAGGCCATTTTCCCCGAGGAGGTCGCGGCGTGGACTAATCTCCCTCTGCATCATGTGGCCTGTCATGGCGTTACCCTTGCCATGGTGGTAAGTGACCTCCCTTTTTTAGAGCTCTTTGGCTTTCGTTTTGTTGGTTCTTTTGATCACTCGGTTCTTTTTGGTAGGTGAACTCTTCTATTCACGCCTTGGCGGCCCAGGTGGAGAGGAGCTCGAGGCAGGCGCGAGCTGCCGAAGAGGCTCTTCGCGCAGCTGAGATGACTTCGCGAGCTACTGAAGGGGCTACTCGTGCTGCCGAGGCTGCTGCTCGTGCTGTCGAGGAGGCTGCTCGTTTTGCACGGATCAGGCAAGCGAGGTCTCAGAGAGATGTCGAGGCTATGGGAGTGGTGGTGAAGCACATGGCAGACTTGAGGCTGGATCTGCAGCATCAGGTTGAGTACCTTCAGGAGGACATCAGGGAGAGGACGCAGATCTTTTCTCAAGGTTTTGAAGATGCCAAGAAAAAGGCTATCGATGAGTACATTGCTTCGTTGGGCTTTGATGATCTGATGGTGGATTCAAACAGGAGGGATTTTAAACTAAGCCGGTGGATGATCCGGAATACGTACCCCGAGCTCGATATTAACACCATATCCACTTCGCGTATAACTCAGGAGATGGCCAATGCTACTGATGGTGAGCCAAACTCCAAGGGCGAGGTGGGGCCTTCGGGTATTGTTGAAGTGCCTTCTAATAATGAAGAAGTAGCTCCGGGCTTGTAAATTTTTTTTTTGAAATGTACTACCTTACTTTGAAATGGAATGACTTTCTTTTGGTTAAGTGTTGGTTGTTCTTTCTCCCGAATTGAGCGTATTTTCCAAACTGACCATATGTCCGATCTGTTTCCTGCCCGGGTTACCGCACTCGCACGGCCTATTTTGGTGGTGATTTTATCCACTTTGCTTGGYRGTCTAWAGGTAGTATCGCCTTAGGTTGACGATGTTCCATGCTCGGGGTACTTGCTTACCCTCTAAGGTTTCGAGCTCGTATGCCCCCCCGAGTGCTTTCTTTACTCTGTAGGGTCCTTCCCAATTTGGTCCAAGTTTGCCCACGTCAGGTTCGGGTACCATGATCTTACGGAGAACTAGGTCGCCGACACGGAAGCTCCTCTTCTTTACTCTGGCGTTATAGTACCGAGCTAATTTTTGCTGGTAGGCCATTGTTCGAATGTGCGCAAGGTCTCTTACCTTATCCAGTAGGTCGAGGTTGGTGCGTAACTCATCTCCGTTTGTCTGGTCGTCATATGGTTCTAGTCGCAGTGTAGGTATTTCGATTTCCGCTGGGATTACCGCTTCGGTGCCGTAGGTGAGGTTAAAGGGGGTCTCTCTCGTAGCGGTTTTTTCCGTGGTTCGGTGAGCCCACAGGACACTTGGTAGCTCGTCCACCCACAACCCTTTAGCTCGGTCTAGTCATGCTTTCAGTCCGCGGAGGATGGCT